AAAAGACGATTTCTCAACTAAGAGATACATGTAATAATCTTTTTTACGGGTCTCAAAAATCGGTCAGTTCGGTACAGAAAAGGAAAAATAGAAGAAGTTCTATATTAAGTGTTCATTCAAGCAAAGAAAATGAGCAGGACATGTTGATTACGACAAAAACAAAATTTCTTATATTTACGCGAACACTACACATTGAAATAATACAAGTTTTTACGGAATTTATCGCGTGTATTTAACTTTTTAATTACCCGACGTTTCGAACGCTTTACAGCACTCATGGTCACGGGCAGGACTGAGATGTTCAACGTCCATATGTCATAGTTAACCGCGGTTACCATAGATTAAAATTTAACTTTTGTTCCGATCTATGCAGTATGAACTTATGGTACCTTGAAGTCTTGCAGTTGTATGCTTGGGTTGGGATTTAATTTTATTTATTATAGGATCCCAAGCAGATGGTAGCACCCAGCCATCTTCTCTATTGAAATTAGGATGTTTTTTGACTTCAATAGCCTCGCGAATCATCCTTGGAAGGAATCGGTGTTCTTTAGCGAGGATCTGCGGTCTATCAAATCTGATGTAGTGACGGGGGCGATCCTGTACGTGTTCACAGACTGCAGACTGTCGACGCTCCGGGAAGCTTCCCAAGCAAGCAAGCAAGTCTGCAGTCTGTGTACTATTTTAATTTAATGAATAAAAAGAATGTTAGACATAATAATGAAAATTGTAATATCATCAATGAGAGCTCTTAAAATTCTAAACCAAATAGAGGGTTAATAACTTATTATTTTCATTCTGTAAAATCTTATAAACAAGTATCACATGATTCCTTTCGTCCATAAAGAAAATTTTTTAAATATGAAATTCACAATCTTACACCAAAATATAGCTGGCATTTGCTCCAAAAAGGATATTTTAGAATTAACATTAAAAAATTTACATGAAGAGGAGCATACACGAATAGATGTATTATGCTTAACGGAAACATTTGTTAAAGCAAGTGATTATAATAATTATAATGTTTATGGTTACAAATTAGCTGGTTTCTATGGTCGTAAAAAAATAGAGGTGGTGTATGTATTTTGATAAAGAAAGATATAGAGTGGAATGAAATAAAATTTATTTCAGATTTAACAGAATTCGAGCATTTTGAATGTTGTGGAATAGAAATTCCTTTGCATAATATTTACATAATATGCATCTATAGGACACCTGGTTCAAATGTGAATATATTCTTTTTTCAAACTACAAAACTTATTGTCAAAATTAATAAATAATCACAATAAAAGAATTATTATTGCTGGAGTTAACTTTAATTCCGTGGAAAATAGTAAAATACAATTGTTAATTAAAGTAATATTATCGGCAATTATAATTTATAGCGTATACAATATTAATGAACCAACGCCTGGAAACAACTGTATAGATCATATATTTAGTAATATAATGAATGCAACAACATGTGTTAAAAAGTTATATATATCAGATCATGAATCGGCGCAAATATTATCTATTGATGTACATAAACAGAGAAAAAAGTTAAATGATATTTGGGAGTATAAAAGGAATTATTAATTTATATTACATTAATATGTTTCGTGAATGTATAAAAAAGCTTACTTTTAAGGAAGTTTTTGAGGACAAGGATATCAATTCTGCATACAATAAATTTATAGATCTTTTTTACCTTATTTTATAATCTATGCTTTCCGATGATTAAGATAAAAAAACTAGACATGAAATATAAAAATAACTGGATTACAAAAGGTTTGAGACTTAGTTGCTTAATGAAAAGGAAACTCACAATTGGTTATTTATAAGAAAAAGACTGACGAGAATAAACAAAAATACAAAATATACAGCAAATTGCTAAAAAAATGTATTGAGGTGTCTAAAAGAATAAATTATTTTAAACGAATTAATACCAGTAAGAATAAAGGAAAATGTTCATGGAATATGATAAAATCAGAGGCAGTGTTAAAAGAGAATGACAACTATTTAAACATGATAAGCAAGAATAATGAATGTCTAAGATCTCCACAGAAGATTGCTAATGCTTTTAGTGAGTATTATGAAAGCCAGACAATGATAGTTAACCTTAAGCAAGCGAAAAAAACATACCTGTATAACATTAAAAGCCCGTGTAAAAGCATGTTTTTACGACCAATTACTCTGGAGGAGACAAAGTCATTAATAGTTAATTTAAAAATTCTAGAAGTGAAGGTTATGATGGCGTAAATACAAAAGTAATTAAATATTGCAAGGATGAACTATCGCTTATACTTACATATTCGATAAATTTATCATTCGAAGTAGGTGCTTTTCCAGAGTCATTAAAACTATCTTTGATCAAGCCCTTATTTAAGAAAGGTGATAAAAAAGATATTAATAACTATCGTCCAATAACAATTTTGTCAGTTTTCTCAAAAATTTTTGAAAAAGCTAGTAGGCTTAGTCATTATTTTAATGAAAACAAGTTTATGAAAAAAGAACAGTATGGCTTTCAGCAAAACAAATCAACCACGATGGCGTGTTTTGATCTATTAAAAAGAATCACCGATGCAATAGATGATAAGGTAAATGTAACAAGTGTATTTTTCGATATGTCAAAAGCATTTGACTTTGTTTGCCATGACACCTTATTGCGTAAGCTAGAAAAGTATGGAATAAGAGGACTGACATTGCAGTGGATAAAGTCATACTTATCATCAAGAAAACAGTGTGTGGAAGTTATAAGCCCTAATAAAAATAATATTTTGACAAAATTCAGATCACGACTGTTTCTTAAGTACGCTGGAGTTCCTCAAGGAAGTGTTCTTGGGTCTTTTTTGTTCGTAATTTATGTAAATGACTTACCGGATTGAACTCCATTCCCATGCATTTTATTTGCGGACGACATATCTTTAATCATAAAAAATAATCATGGAAATAAAGATAATTACGAAAATGACATAAAATGCGCAATAAATGATGTCATTTCATGGTTACATAATAATAATTTGAAAGTCAATATCGCCAAAACCTGTTATTTACAATTTTATAGTAATAGTAGAAAGAAAGAAATGACAAAGTGCAAGAAAACGAACAGAAGAAATTTCTGGGAATAAAATTAGATAGTAATTGTAATTGGATGGCTCATATTGACGAAATTTGTAATAAAATTAATAGATTTGTATATGTTTTAAATAGGTTAAGAAGAACATCGTCAAGTCAAACCGCACTCATTGCATATCATGGATATGTTGCAACAATATTAAGATACGGATTGTTAATTTGGGGTAATAGCTCTTATTCAAAAAGAGCTTTTATAGCTCAAAAAAAGTGTGTAAGAGCCTTAACTGGGGCCAAGTGGTATGATTCCTGTAAGCCCTTATTTAAGGATTTTAACATACTGACTTTTACCAGGTATGTAGATATTTGAAGCAAGTGTTCATGTAAAAAAACATTTACATATGTACAAAAAAGCATCTGAGGTATACTTGCGTAGCAATCGAAATTCTAATAGACGTAGTTATAGAACGTATACCTAAAACTGCATTTTATCATAATGGCTGCTATGCGATGAGTGTAAAAAATTATAATAAACTTCCGGTAAGCATTAAAGAAGAGACAGAAACTGGTAAATTTAAAACCAAACTAAAAAGCTGGCCACTATTAAAGTGCGTTTATGAAGTAAAACAATTTTTAAATGAATAGAATCTTGTTGCCTGAATTTGATATTATTGTATTCTTTTAGACTATTTTTTGTGTAATCTGTAGATTTTATATATGTACTCTTTTGACATTCAAATTTTTAATTTTAATAATGATTGACATGATGATTGTATTTTAATTTTATTTGATTTAAATGAATAATGCATATTTAAATTCTTTGCTTGAAATAATGATTGTAGTTTTAAAAGATAAAACGGTTAGAAAAAGATAAACGGGTAACAGACGTGCATAAAAGACAAAAGGAAAATCTATCTGGGAATGAAAAAATACAGATTGTTATTGAACCCTGTGCTACCGGAATTAAAGAAAATGTCACTATGTATTTTGAAGAAGATGAAAACAGTAGAATGTGCGCGGGAAAAAAAGAATTTGTCACCAAAGGAAAAATAAGAAAACAGAAGCGATATCTTAGCGACAGCTTGCAGAATCTACATAAAAAGTATCTTGAAACCAATCCTCAATACAAAATAAGCTACAGTGCATTTTGCAAGCTTCGTCCATTTTGGGTACGCGTACCAAACGTCAATATTCGTGAAACATGTTTATGTAAAGATCATGAAAATATGGAGTTGGTCGTTGTAGCCCTTCGGAAAAATTATCTGATTGTGGAAAAATCTGTAAATCGGATTCTACAATCACTATGTTGTGATCCTAGGAATGTTTACTGTCTGGCTAAGAAATGTGATAGTTGCAAAAATAAGGCCATTAATTATAAAGAATTTGACAATACCAAAGAAACACATTACTTTATTTGGAACAAAGTAAAAAAAAACTTATATCAAAGATGGAAAAGAAAAAGCTACGCTTCAAACGATTAAGGCAAAAGTTGCAGCGCAAAAAATCCCAAAGATATAATCTAACATTTCGAAAACCTGTTAGTACCTTATATGCAACACTGCGGAAATATTATAACTCAATATAATTATACAAAAAAAATGAAACAAAACCTGAAGCCTGAAGAATGCATCATACATTGCGATTTTAGTGAAAACTATAACACAAAATATGCCTCTGAGATTCAGTCTTTCCACTTTGGAAGGTCCAGACAACAAGTAACATTACACATCTCTGTTATTTATTACATTAAAGATGGAAAACTGTGTAAGCAGTGATACTGTACTATCAGTGAATGTTTGCGCCATGATGCCGTCGCAATCTGGGTACATTTACAGCCAATTCTCCGATTTCTTGAAAACGAGATGCCGGACGTAATAACCTTTCATTTTATTTCGGATTCACCATCGGCGCAATATCGTAATCGCAAAATGTTTTACATAATAGCGAAAATGCACTGGTATTTTTCTAGTTTGCGATTATTAGTGTGGAATTATTCTGAAAAAGGACACGGGAAAGGGGCTCCTGATGGTGTCGGAGGAGTTCTAAAACGAACTGCTGATCAAATAGTTGCGAGAGGGAATGCCATTCCACACACTGAAATTCTTGTCAGACACCTAAAAGAACGCTGTCCAGGAGTTATTATAGAAGTCGTTTATGAGTCGGGCATATTAGAGAAAGATACGCTGATTCCCGAAAATTTAAAGGAATTCCGCGGAATCATGAGAACACATCAGGTTGTGTGGAGTGCCAATTAACTTCAGATTTTAGCTATGAGAGAACTTAGTTGTAGCTTGGACAATTGTTCACAAGAAGCCATTCAATATTCTCACGGTCAACACATTGATTTTTATACCATAGAAGACATTAATAAACAACAGAGTCACCACTCTGTTGTGTTAAACGTCAAATCCGCGGATAAAAGAAAGGTGACATCGAAGAAATCTACATGCAGCTCTTTGATCAAACATAGCCAAATATCTGCTACCGAAATTCAGACTGGAAAAGATACGGATACAACCCAACAAGACCTCAACCTTCCCGATGACGACAGCTTTTGGATGGAGACTTCGTCAATCGATGAAAGACTTATAACCCAAAATTCACCAGAGATGTCCTATCGACCCTCCATCAGAAAAGCGTAGATGATCGCTCAGATTCTGACGATGAGGTATTTTTGTGTTTAAAAAGCCTCATTATGATAAGCGGACAAAAGAGTCTCACGGCATTGTTGAAGATATGTTTATTCCATCTTCCTCCGAAAATTCAAGATCTCGTTAACAAGAAAAAGGCTTTATGGATGATATTGAAAGCAGCTCCGTCCCTAGCCCAAAGCCAAGAAAATATTTCTTTTAGTACCTATTTAACTTTGACCTTATTACTAGTTAATTATACCTAGAATCTATATTTCTTTGAAAGTTGATAAGGAAGATTATTATCAAAAATGCCATTTAAAGTTGATCTCATTTTTGTTACTTTATTGTTAGGTAGTAATAAATAAACCAATGTGATTGGTAATTTCAATTAATAATTAAGACTGCTATTCTTACTTTACCATATAATACGAGAATTATTATAAATACTGGAGTTTAAAATTATTTTTACAAGAATTATTGTTTAATTCATCAGATTTTTTTCCGTGATACGATCGCTGATAATTGTTTTCATATAAAAGGTTATTGTTGTTATTCAAATATGATTATTTTCTTAATACAACGTTTTTTTTATTTTTATTTGTTTCTGATTCATCTGTAACAAATTCTGATTCATCTGGGCACAAATATTTGAACGTCGATATCATGAAAACTACTTTATAAAAACGAGTCCCTCATTCAAATATATGTTATTTGGTATACCTTTTTTCATATGAACATGTGTTACAAAGCTGAAAGTGAAATTAAATTTTGGCCATATGAATCAGTCGAAGAATCAAATTTCGAAGAACTACTCTTTGGCATCCATAAAGGTTTCAGACAGGGCTGTGTGGCTTCCCCGTGGCTGTTCAACCTATTTATGGACAGTTGTTTGCAAAATTTGAAAGTTGAAGAATGCGGATTAAGAATGGGTAAGTTAACCGTCAAATGCCTTTTGTACGCCGATGATCAAGTTATTCTTGCGTCGTCGGCGGCCGAGCTGCAAATGATGGTTACATTAATGAACAGATCATTAAAAGAAAGGGGTATGAAAGTGAACGCAAGTAAGACGAAAGTTATGGTTTTTGAAATAGAAGAAAGTAAGACGATATGTGAAATAAGAATAGAAGGGGAGTTGATCGAGCAAGTAGATGAGTTTGTATATCTGGGTTGCATATTTAGCAGGGATGGGAGATGTGATAAGGGTATAGAACAACGAGTGAATGCAGGAAATAGAGTAAATGGGGCCCTACACTCTATTGCGAAGAGTCAAAATGTGTCGAAAAAGGCACGTATGGCAATTCACAATGCTGTGTTGGTCCCTACTTTAATGTATGGTAGTGAAAGTTGGGTGTGGCAGAAGAAGCACGAGAGTAGAATGAACGCAGTCGAAATGCAGTCATTAAGGAGTATATTAGGGCTGAATCTGAATGACAGGGTAAGAAATTGTGTAATAAAAGAAGAGAGAGTTTGCAAGATGATGTTGTGACCAGGATTAAGAAAGGAATGCTTCGGTGGTTTGGTCATGTGGAAATAATGAATGAGGAAAGAGTGACAAAGAAAATTTATGTTGCAGAAGTGAATGGTAGAGTCGGAAAGGGATGTCCTAGGCGAAAATTTATCGACCAAATGGGCGATTTATTGAAAACGGGCCAAATTAGGAGTACCCTTAACCGACGAGCATATATGCGTAGGTGTATGGATGTGAAGGAGGCGAGAGAGGTGTGTCAGGATCGTGCCAAATGGAAGTCTGTAGTCTCTGCCTACCCCTCTGGGTGACAGGCGTGAGTGTTTATTATACGAAAAGATGCCTGAAATGAACAATAATACTATAGAAATTATTGGTATAGGAAATGACTCTGTTACATCCCTTGGTCACATCCCCATTGAATTTTGTTCCTACCAACATAACTTCTACGTACTTCCGGCGTTTGATTTGCCGTATGATGGAATCATTGTTAGCGACTTCCTCATCAAATTAAATTGCAAAATTAATTATAACACCACCTTAAAAGTAAATAAAGATGAAATAGAGCTTTGTTTCACTAAGCCAGTCTATACTATTGCACCGCGATGTGAAACTACCATAGTGTTCTGTAAGAAATCCGGACGTTAAAGAAGGACTTGTACTTGATCAGAACCCCGTAGACTCGCTCCTTATAACTAACTGCATCGTAAAAGTGAAATCAAATTCATTAATTAATATTTCCGTTGTAAATACTTTTGAAAGCGAATTAATCGTCGATTCCGATTTAAAACTAACGCTACGACCTTTTGAAAATAAATATAATCATCTTACTACTACTTACCCCGATATTTTTCATCTGCCTGGCGATAAATTAACAACTAACACAAACCTCTTGCAACACGAAATTCCTACTTCGTCTTCTATACCAATTAACACTAAGTCTTACCGCTTCCCTGACATTCATAAGTCAAAAGTAGAACGCCAAATAAATAAAATGCTTGACGACGGCATCAGCAAACCTTCGACATCACCTTGATCATCACCAATTTGGATAGTCCGAAGGCTGGTTTTCCCGTCATGCTGACCGCACGCTGACGGTTGGCGCTGATAGGTTAATATGTATGTAACGTTATATGTAGCGTACTTGAATCGCGCGGATCCCTCAGCGCTGGCGGCCGTCAGCGCTGAGCTATACGCGGGCGTGCGCGTCGCGCGTCGGCGCCGCAGAACAACAGGCGCCGGCGCGTCTCCACACTCAGTGAGCGTTTTCGTGTTGCGCTGAACGCACGTACCGGCAAATACAATCATGGGCAATCGTGATATAGACACTGGTCGAGTATTTGACGAAGTGCGATCAAGAAAATGTTTATGGGACGCTTCGAACCCATTATATCGAAATAAAGATGCGCGTAACAAAGCCTGGGATGACATCGTCGTCACACTTTTCGAAAACGTTTCATGTGAAGAAATACAACATTTAGGTTAGTATTAATTTTTTATTTACTCTTGATTAATAAAATGGAAGGCTTCGATCATATATTTCTGTAGATGCACTGTTGCCGCTAAAAAATGACACCAGTAAAACAAGGCATACTTATGCCTTGTTTTCACCATCCGGCTGTTCTGCAGAAAAGTTTAAAAATATATTTTTTTTGATGAATTAACTTTTTTGATCCCGTTAAACCAAAATGAAGTAGATGAATCACTATATGAATCAGCTTTATCACCCCCAGAAAATTCTCAAATTACCGAATCTAGTGCTGATATCAATCTGCATTTCTTAACAATGATGCGATGCCATCTTCTTCAAACGTTTCACAAGACGTACAAGGCCAAACTAGTACAGCATCATCGGAAAATCCATGGACTAAAAAAAAGAAAAAACCGACCTCGCCAAACCAGTCAGTAGAAAGTTCCAAATTTGAAAAAGGATTACTAAATCTTCTTGCAAGTCAAACGGCAGATATAGCAAGTGATGATTTGTCTTTTTTTTCCTCTTTAGGACCAATTTTAAAAACCTTTGACCTTGAACAAAAGTTTGAGTTTCGCTCAAGAGTCCTGAATGTCGTCACAAGTGTAAAAAATATGCATTATAGACCATCTAGCTCAACATCCATGGTAAATTTAACATCCCCAGATGTGAGGTCACCACCACAATATGAGCAACAAAATATGTATAATACACCGTCACCATACAATTATGACAATGATCATCCAAGCGGTTCATCCGAGAATATTGAACATGTCTAATGCTTAACATTGATTATTTGTTGTACAAATATATAATTAATAAATATTTCTGTGTACTTATTTTTTTCTTACCTTAAAGTAACCATCAAGCGTTCAATCGGCTGTATAGGAACACAACGTAAGCTGCAATGGACCAATCTATTTTAGAGCTTTGCTAGTAATTCGTCAAAACTTCTTGATGACATACGGAAATAGTCGAAAAACTTGTCTTCGTCCTCTCTCAACTGGCCGTATAATAAAAGGTGTCTCAGCGCTGATTTTAAACTTTAAATACCAATTTCTCGGCACACGGCGGGGTTAGCGGGAGGGGAGAGGTAGCGTTCGGTAGGTGATTAGTGCGGGCTTTTTAGTCGCTATGTCCCAGTGGTCTGGCGCGCACCGCGCGTACGCAGTAGAGGCGTATTTTTGCAACGAGTTTTCGCTGAGGGAAGCACAGTGCAAGTTTTGTAATCGCTATGAAATCCGCCGTTTAAGTGATGCCCCGAGTATTCAGTTAATTAAGTCGTGGGTAAAAAAGTTCAGAGCGACAGGATGTTTAATGAAACATTCAATTGGCCCTCGAATTAGACCTGTTCGATCGATTGAAAACATCGACCGCGTCGCCGCTGCGGTCGCGGAGCATCCACGACGATCAGTTAGAAAACATGCTGCCTCTTTGAATCTTCATCGTTCAAGTATTCAACGAATTTTGGCCTTAGACTTAAAATTACATCCCTATAAAATCCAAATAGTTAAAAAAATCAAACCAGAAGACTATAAGAAGCGAAAAATTTTCTGTCAGAAGATGTTAGGGATTTTTTCAGAGGAAAATGGGATGTCCAATTTTTATTTTAGCGATGAGTCACACTTTCACCTCGAAGGGTACGTCAATCGCCAAAATTGCCGTTACTGGTCACCCAGCAATCCAAAACAAAAACATCAGAAGGCATTACACAGCCCCAAAGTTACTGTATGGTGCGCAATATCGGCGAAGAAAATCATCGGGCCATTTTTCTTCGAGAATGATCGAGGTGCAACGGTTACAGTGACGAGCGAGCGGTATATCGACATGATTAATAACTTTTTTGTACCGCAGCTGCAAGAAGAGGATGTTGATGAGTCCGGTGTATGGTTTCAGCAAGATGGGGCCACAGCCCAACCAGCTAGGGTCTCCATGGACACACTAAAAGCGTTGTTTCCGGGAAAAATCATAAGCCGCTTTGGAGACATATTGTGGCCACCCAGATCTCCCGACTTAACCCCAGCTGACTTTTTTTTATGGGTTTATCTTAAAGCAAGAGTTTTTGATACCCCTCTTATGAATTTAGAGCAGCTGAAGACTAAAATAACGACAGAAGTGAGGGCCATATCAATTGACGTTCTGCAGCGTGTTTCTGCAAATTCGTTAGTCCGCTTTGAAGAGTGCATTCGTCGTGATGGAAGACATCTTGACGGTGTAATATTCCGTACATAAAATTCGCACTAATGTACTATAATTTACTACAATTAAAATATTATAAACACAATTGTTTTTTTTTTTATATAAATATTCAAAGTTTAAAATCGGCGCTGAGACACCCTTTATAAGGATTTCCCTGCAAGGATTCTCTGCTCGATTAATGGATAAACGTGTAGTTTTTTCTTTATCAGACGTTTTTTCTTTGCTAAATAGTATACGGCAACAGTTTTCACTAACATCGACATTATTTGAGTCTGTACTTCACGGTGATCAGCGCGATACTAAAACGGTCCGAGCTGACCGATCAGCGCTGACAAGCTACGCGCCGACCGTCAGCGCCGGCGGTAAGCATGAGAGGAAAACCAGCCTAAAGAAGATCGATGCGTTCGAGCAACTTAAGTGGCGCGAGATTATCGTCGTCTGAACGACATCAATATAGGAGATTCCTATCCAATACCCAATTCTCGATCATTTAGGGAAATGTAAATACTTAACTCGTTCTCTGCTAACGCGGTAGTGCTGACTGAGAGCGAACTTTGCCTTTAGGCCAAGCAAAAATTACAGTTCTATTCAAATTAGTTCAATTTTTTTTAGATACTTATATTTAATGCTTAAATGTATATTTTCATTAAAAAAAGTAAATTTGGGTCATTATACAGCACTGACCGACGAGGCCCATGGAAACAAAAAATCGACTATCCGTTACAGGGCGCCGCGCGGGTCGCGGTGTCGAGTCCCCTCTCGTAGCTCCCGAGTTTATAATCTCACCCGCGCTTACGCAGTTGTCGCCCGTATCTTGAGTTGCGCAGTTACGTCAACAACTGTTACACAAGATATTCAATCGTTTACTTAAAATTGTTAGCATTATGGACGATTTCGAAGATTTTGAGATTACTCAAGACATCTTAATATAGAAATCAATCTTCTCGACAAAACTTTAAGCCTAAATTCCGATGATGAAGAAAATATTCAACCCCTCCGATCGAGTAAGAGGCGCCTGCGGATCCTGTCAACAAGTGAAGGCAGTGATGCTGAAATTGGTCGTGCTATCCAAGATTTAGAAAGTAGTTCATCATCTAAGTGGACAGAACCCTGAGGTAATCAACGCAATGTAATTCCTTTCACTGAATGTTGTGGCATGCCAGTTCCTATTCGGATGTCAATGAGTAACACATCTTCAGCTAATTTTTATGCACTTTTGGTGACAGATAGTCTTTTACAACAGATTGTTGAACGTACTAACGCTTTCGCAATAACTAAGATAACTCGCACTGCAGAAGCTTCAAAAAATGCAAGAATTCGCTCATGGTCGGAAACTAACCTCCCCGAGATAAAACATTTTTTTTGTTTGGTTTTGTACATGGGTTTGGTGAAGCTTCCAAAAATGGCTGATTATTGGTCCACGGATGATATTATGGGCCAAAACTTTCCACGAACTGTAATGTCTAGAAATAGGTTTGAACTGCTTTTGCAAATGATCCACTTTTCGCAAGATGATGATAATAATAAATCGGACCGACTGCACCGCGTAAAGCACTTGCTAGATGTGATTAATGACAATTTCCGGAGAAATTATATTCCTTGTCAAGATATATGCATTGATGAGAGTATGGTTCCGTTTCGAGGACGTTTGGTATTTTGCCAATATAATAAGCAGAAACGGAACAAGTACTGGATCAAATTATTTAAACTGTGTATCTTGCCAGGGTATACATACAAGATCAATATATACGCTGGTAAACAACACGAACAAAATAATGTCACCCCTCAAATAGTGGTAATGAACCTTTGCCGGACTTACTTAATAAAGGACACTCACTGTACACAGATAATTGGTACACTAGCGTTGGCTTAGACAGAGAACTCCTCAGAAATGAAACACATTTAATTGGCACTTTAAGAAAAAATAGAAAGCATTTCCCTAAAGTTGTAGTTTCTACTAAGCCGAAAAAAGGCCAGTTCATAGCGAGAGAAAGTGATTGGATCACTGTTTTGAGATGGAAAGACAAACGAGATGTGTTGGTGCTTTCCACAAAACATTCAACACGCTTCGTTTCAGTTACCAAGCATAATAAAACCAAAATGAAACCGGCTATTGTTGTAGATTATAACAAGGCAAGGGGAGCAGTGGACTAATCTGATCAGCTGGCAGCATATCAGACACCATTAAGAAAAACTTACAAAAAAAAAAAAGAAAAATAGTACAAAAAAATTGCATTTGATCTGATTTTAAATATCGCCATGGTGAATGCTTTAGTTTTGTATAAAACTGTCACAAACAAACATGCACCTATTGTAGACTTCAGAAAATAAATACTAAAGAGTTTTTTGGCAAAATATTCCACATCCGGAGCGCCTTCAGAACGGACGACAAGAAGGAAACACGTGCTTCAGAAAAAAGAAGGACCTTCTCTGAAGGTACGTCGAATGTGTGTAATATGCTACAAGAATAATGTGAACACATTTGGGCGTGCATTGGCCAGAAACAAAACTAAAAATGTGTGTACTTTTTTGTGACACTTGTGTAGATAAACCTTTTCCATGTGTAAATGAATGTTTTGCAAACATATATATATGATTTTTAGTACTCCTTTTATTGTTGTTACCTGAATAATTTGTGGAAAAAATTGTGAAAAATTATTATTTTTACTTTGATTACTATTCGATACAATCTTTTATTTGTGTTTCATTTTTATAGATATATTTACCCCAATAAACTTTTTGGTACCACAAAACAGTTTTTGCTTATAATTTTTGCTAAATATTTTACAAAGCATCAGTTGAAATCTAAAATTATTGAAATACTAACGACACCTACAGGAAACTATACCACATCGATCGAAAACATATACAGTCATAACATAACGACATGATAAATTCAACATTTTTGGCCGATATGAAAAAACCTAGTTTTAGTTTAGTTTGGTGTAATTTACTCGATAAATTAAAACTTAAAATGTAAGTGCCATAATTATTTTCCTTTATTTATCACTACTCCACGTTTAAAGAAAAACTTTAACAGAATAATTAGTGATATCTCTTTTAAAGTTTTTCTCTACGAACATTTTTAATAGGTAATTGCTGTTTTTTTTGTCTAAGTCCTTTACATTTTTCAAAAACCAACTTGATTTGTAGTAACTAGAGGGCCATGCGGGTCAATGAATATAGGATTTAGTTTGATAGCACTGCCCGACGGCTTGTAAGAATGGATTGAAAACACTCGTAAAACGCGGTCAGCACTGACCGACGCGGCCCGAATGGAAAGTCTATTTGTCGACCAGCATTGACCGACGCGGGCTGAACGGGAAGATCCATTTTTTCTCTTGATTTTCAACGTGTTAAGCACTTTAGATCTTGCTTCCGGTTTACACCAGATGAGAATGTCCGAAAAGGACGTTCCTAAAATTGCCTTCTCAATTCCGCAGACATTTCGAATTTACAAGGATGCCTTTTGGGCTAAAAAACGCCCCTTCATCATTCCAAGGGTTAATGAACACTGCCCTGTGTTCATCAAGTTGCATTTTGTTTCGCATATACCATGGGGAGTGCTCTGAGAAATTGT